TCAGCAGGGCCGTGAAGCGGCGGGAGCAGGCCCTGCAGGACTACCGGCGACTGCAGGCCAAGGTGGAGAAGCACAAGGAGAAGGAGAAGACGGGCCCCGTACTGGCCAAGCTACACCAGGTGTGGCCAGCAGGCGGGAGGGGCAGGCGGGCAGGCTGTTGTCACTGGGGGCCGATGGGGCCAGACCCAGCACGGGAGCTGCAGCCCCAGGTCTCGTTCCCCAGGCCCGAGAGGAGCTGCGGCCAGTGCGGGATGATTTCGAGGCCAAGAACAGGCAACTTCTGGACGAGATGCCACGCTTCTACGGCAGCCGGCTCGACTACTTCCAGCCCAGCTTCGAGGCCCTGATCCGGGCACAGGTGAGGCCTGTGTGTGCCACGTCCCCACCTGCCCCCTGGAGACAGGCACGGCTGTGGATGCATCTCACGCACAGGTGACAGCCTCCCGCCTCCGAGGACTCTGGCCCCCATGTGGGCTCCAGGCTGGCTGGGCTCTGACCCAGGACCTCCAGCATCACTCTGGTGACCCTGGTCCTGGTGTGGTCCCAGTCCTTTTGGGTTTAACAGCTCTTCCCTCAATTTCTCACATTTTCCCGTGAGCTGCAAGAACACCCAGCTACCCCTCCAGGCCCTGCCCTGGGGCCAGCTAGTTCTTGCCTGCAAGAGCTGGAGGGCCGGGGAGCCCTGGGGTCCATTCGCAGGACCTGGCTCTGCCCCAGCTGTTTATCACCCTCTCAGCAGGCCACAGGGAGAGCACAGCCTAGGGGAAGTGTGTGGCACCTCTGGTGTTGTGGCCCTGCATGCCAGTCGGCCGGCAGCAGGAGGGTCAGGCCAGGCCAGGAGCCCGTGTCCTGCCTGCAGGTCATGAGGACAGAGCTCAGCTCTCCTCGCCCCGCCCATGTCCAGGCCTGTAGCAGGGTTGTCGTCCCACTGGCAATCGAGGGGTAGCTGGGGAGCCTAAGCCAGGTGGAATCCCAGGGCCCCAGCCCACCTCCACCAGGGGACTGACTGGAGGCCTCCAGATCCTAGCGCCGAAGGTCGGCTCTGTCCCTGGCTGGGCATCTGGCGCCCTCCAGTGGCCGTCACCATGCCTGTGATCCAGCACTGGGTACCAAAGGGAAGACCTGTGCCACCACCTCTGCCGGCCCTGAGAGCATGCTGGGGGCTCATGGGGAAGCCTGGGTGGAGCTTACCCCATGCTCAGGCCCTGTGGTCTCTGGATGGTAAGGGGACCCCAGCAGAAGGGAGGACCTCCCCACCTTCACCTCCTGCTGTCAACTGTACCTCTGCCAGGGAGGAGTGGGCTTCTGAGGGAGACCCTGGCCTCCCGGCCTCCCCGCCTCCCCGGCCTTCCTTTGCTCAGCCCTGGCAGCTGCTTCAGCTCCAGGCATGTTCCCAGGAGGGAGCTGCGGGGTCCCCATGGGAGTCGTGCAGGGCGAGGGACACCCCGTAACCAAGCAGCTGGGGTTGCTTACTGCCCCCCAGCTCCAGCCTCCCCCTCAGCCGGCTGCCACTGCCGTTAGTCATGGAGAAGTGAGCATTCCTGTGACTCAGCGGTGGCGGGGAGTGGGGGCGGACCCCTCTGTCCTCCCCCGGTGCACCCACCTCACCGTCTCATGGCTCCAGGTCTGGAGCTGGAGTAGGGTCCTGCTCCCCAGAGACGGCTGGACGCCGGAGGGGTAGGAGCAGGCGTCAGGTCCAGGCGGGGCGCCGTCTGCTCCCTGACTGGCTCCTCAGGCAGGAGTGGAGGTGGACCTGGCCAGGCCGGGCCAGTAAGGGGCGGCCTCCATTAGCCTCACTCCCAAACCTGCTGTCAGGGGGGGTCTTTGATCAGGCAGCCTGGCCA